GGGGAGTGGTTGAGTACTTGTAAAAGTCAAACACCTTACTGCTAAATAATGATCCAGATATATGGATTGAAAAATAGTAGGGCTGTAAGAGTACGGGTACCAGAGATTACACAGCTGATCCCATGGTTGGGTACTTAGGTTAAAAACCTAATTATTATCTGGGTTACATTGAACATCAAAGACATAGCAATCCAACATGAGAGGGGTTGGTGGTGTGGAAACTTGGGGAGGAGATCGAATGTTGAGATGCAGATAGATCTTGAACATTTCCATCGAAACAATGATTAATAAAATACTGATGTGAAGCCATTATATTTTCTCTACATCTAAGCAATCTGGGTGTCATCTCGTTCTCCTACTGGATTTGGTGACAAGGAGAAGTTGTACCAAAATAACCGACTAAGAAGAGGATCGGGACGCGGGAAAGAATTGAGGGTAGGAAGTTGAAAAGGAACGGATCACTGGGGTGGGGGATATCACACAGCTCCAAAACTTGTACGTAAAGCAAGAGGAGATGTACCTCTGAAAATTCAACACGTAACTGTTTAACATGCATTAAAATATAGCATAGACACTAAACAAACGTATATCTTACATAAATGTGTTCTAGTAAGTTTATAAAATGTCTTTAGACATCTTTTAAAACAAAGTGTACAATAAAAAAATTTATGACAATCTTTTTTAAATACAAATCCGAAAAGACGTCGTATAAAAATTGTAATTTTTAAGAAATTAAATTAATAATGAACAAAAAGAAATTGCATGAGGAATATTTAATTATTTTAGTTTAAACAATAACAAAATAATATAAATCATGTATTAGTTCTTTTATCAAAAATTATATAGTTTTATTAAATCAAAAAGACTTAATAACAAAAAAGAAACCAAAAACGATATTTAATAAACCAAAAAAACTAAAACACCCCTAATTTAAATGAAGGATTTTTAATAGATTTAATCTTATGAACGAAAACAAAATAAATTGCAAACCGTAAAAATGAAAACAATAATAAATTATAAACCATATAGACAAAAAAACGAAAGTTCAAAAACTACAGGGACGAAAATAGTAGTTTACTCGAATATAAAACAAATTAATTTGTATTCATTTATGATATTTAATAGTATGATTAAATATAAAAATATTCAATATTAGGTTCATTTTGAAAGTATTGACGAGACGACTGTAATGGTATAATTTGTAAAAAAAAAACCTATTTTTTTAAAATTTATTTTAGTTCATATATGATTATTTATGTTAATATGATAAGAGTGTAAAATGAAAAATAAAAAAGTGTTGGATATAAAGTACATTAAACACTTATACGGGTACAAAGTGTTATTTAAAAATAAATAATGATTTGATTTTGAATATCATCCATGTCAGTTGGTGTCGCGACCTTTGCATCGTCGGGCGCCGGCTGATAGTGATCGCCAATTGTTAGTTCCGATCCAGTGCTCTTATGTGGCTGGACGCCTGCTGTTGTTGTTGTTCACAAAACCATGACCCATTGTCGCTGGTTGCTGGATTCTGCCATGCACCGCAGCATTGCAACTATGTGACCGTCCAGATTGTAGCTTGGTTGTTGTCGCTCGAAGATTAGACCACGGCCTTGTGCCATCTTGGTTCATGGTTTGGTTCACGTCTTGTGTCGTCAGCTGCATTTTGACCAAGATTTTGGTCCCCAACCACAGCAGCCCGCAACTAGGGTTTAACCCTGTTTTGGGCTGGAGAATATCAAGTTGTTTTCAGCGAAAGTTTTTGATTGGGATTTTGGACGAATATTTTGGCCCACGGGTATTAAATCAAGTTATGGGTCATAACTAGTGGTTTGGTTCATTTTTCAGGGTTTAATTTCGTGTAGTTGTTAACTCTTTCAAAAAAAGAATTCATTTTCCCTAAAATCCATAGAAATTAATTGAGAAATTACCCTTAACTTAAATCATTGTGGGATTTCGTAGTAAAATTGTATGGAACAAGAAAATGTGATAAACGATGTGTATAAAGCTTTAAAAAATGAAGGATGAATTTATTACTGGGTTTTCTCTTTTACAAACCCTGAGGCCGTACCCTTTTATTTGACCGACGAGATATTGCAAACAACCCCCTTCCAAATAGAATTTTCTGCCCATGCCTCGAAGAACTCTTCAGTTTTCTGAAATTTTCTTAGTTTCTTTTCCTACTTGGCACCCAAATGCAAACCAACCCAACTTTTATAGGACATTTGTTTTTGTAAGACATTTTTTCAAATAGTGTCCTATAAAATTGCTAATGAAACGTTTTGTAATAAAAAGTGTCCTAAAAAACTTGTTAAGACGCTCAAAAGCGTCCTATAAACTTATTACAACATCTTTAGATATGACGCTTTATATTTTGATCCTAAAATTTAAGTCCTATAAACCAGTCTGTTAGGACACTTAGAAATTGGTGGCATCCTATAAACTCGATTTTGTTATAGTGAATGGAAAAACAAATAAAGGGTTTATGTTACTTATGCAATCAGTTGTATGAAAAGGGCATAAGTGTGGGTTGAAACAAACGCAGCTGTTCTCATTTGAGATTCCAGGTATAGATGAGGACGAAGAGGAGAAACGTGAATGTATGGATCCATGTTTTGAGGATGTTAATATAGAACAATTTGTATCAATGAAAATGTTAAGTGGAAACCATAAATTTCATATAAATGAGGGTGACCAATTATTACGACGATAAGTCCCTTCAGATTTTGATTGATCCGGACAGTACTCCTAATTTCTTGGATTTACATTTGGATAAAAGGTTAGGTTTGCATTTGGATTCCATTCCTCATGAAGTAGTAAGAGTAGCAAATTGTGCTAATATTGTGTGTCGATTTGTTTGTAAGGATTTTAATCGGAGGCTGCAGAACACCAAATTCAAGTCGGACATGTTTTTGATTCCATTGAGAAGTTATAAAGATGGTCCTAGGGGTTCAATGGCTTAAGGGTTGTTTGTTTACCTCTTAATAGTTCCATTAAAATACAGTATTTGAATCATTAAAAGGTGAATCTTGTTTGAATAAAGAAAAAGTCTGCCTCTTAGTGGTTTTAAAACCTCTAAATGATTTTGTATCACGAGTCTCCCTTAACTATTCAGCGCCCTAATTTCATTGTAAATAATTACCAAATAATTATATTTCATTTTGCACTATATCATAAGAGTCTCTTAATCATTCTGCACCAAACCATTCAGCAACTGTCAAACAACCCCTTAGTATTGTGGGGACTATAACATGGGATTTCAAAAGGTTGATGATGGAGTTTGATGTGAAATCTTGCCATTGTGTGCTGAAGGGAGTTATTCCAAAGGGAATTGGCTAAGAAAGCTAAAGTTCAGTATTCTAAGGTGTCGTTTGATTTGCAGGAATTGAATGGATTTCGGAGGATTTGAATTTCAAATTCCAATCCAATGTTTGGTTTGTTGGATTATCCGAATTTGAAATCTTATGATTTAATTGAAATCCTATAAACATATGATTTTGAAATCCTTAGGGGTACTCGGGATTTCGTAGGATTGTATGAAACAAAGTTTTAAACAATGTTAACAACATTTGTTCTGTAATAATTGATTAATAGAAATGTAATTAATTATTTTTAGCATCATTTATAAATTATTTATAAATAATGGAATCCAAATCCTACAAACCAAACACACCAATGATTTCAAATCCGTTCCAAACCAAATCCAAATCCCTTCACAAAATCCAAATCTCTCAAAAACAATCATTCAAACCAAACAGACCCTAAGTTGACCCAAGGCCCATAAAAATGCATTGATATAAATAGTTTTATCTGATGTAAGTTTGATTCAAACTTTGATAATAAAATTGTTTTTTATATCTTCTTCTTCATTTCTTTTCTTTCCTGTTTCATAATACGCTTCCTCTATAACAGTTCGTATTATGAAACAGAAAATAAAAGAAATGAAGAAGATAGAAAGAAGAAAATTAGAGAGAATTCAAAGGGAAGAGCAGTTTTGTTATCAAAGTCTGAATCAAACTTACACAGACAAAACTATTTAGAGCATCTCCAACAGCTTTTCCAAAATGGAGAAAATGGGGATTTTAAGTCAATATTTTTCTCTAACAGCTTTGTCAAACCTATCTCCAAAATGGAGAAAGTAGATGAGAGAGAGATTTTTTTCTCCAAATACGAAGAATACTCCAAAAATGATTATCAATTGAGACCATCAACAGGGAACTTTGAAAATAAATATTTTGAGAAAGAAATAATATTTTAATTATAATCAATGTTGGATTCTCTGAAATAGGGAATATGTTGAAGATGAATGTATTCTTTTTTTTAGATTTTAACTTTTAGTTCTCCATTTTAAAGAAATTTTAGAAAATCTGTTGAAGATGCGCTTAAAATATATATATATATATATATATATATGTGTGTGTGTGTGTGTGTGTGTGTATGTGGAGGTTCAAACGAGAACACCTCCATTTTACGAGATTGCGAAAAACATCCTTATCACATGTGATAGCACGCATGAGGGGACCCTATGATGTGCGGACGACGTGTTCTACGACTTAGACCGAGCCAAAGGTTGTCTACATCTATAATTTAGCATCACATGTGATGGTCTTGATGGATTATAGTATCATATCAACAACACTCTTATCACATGTGATAATACTTGTAAGGGGCTTAGTGGTGTAAGGACGACTTGACTCGCAACCAAGATCGCGTCGAAAATCACTTGCGTCTCTGATTTAGTATCACATGTGTATCATATGTGGTGGAATAATAGTATCACATGTGATTGTCTATAGGAAAAGGGTATTCTCACGTTCTCGTAAAATGAAAGTGTTCTCGTTTGAACTCTTCCCTATATATGTGTGTATATATATATATATATATGTGTGTGTGTGTGTGTGTGTGTGTGTGTGAGAGCGTGCATGCACGCACGTGCTTGCGCACACACGTACGTGCGTGTGTGTGTGTGTGTGCGCAGTCTTCAGAGGATACATCTCATATATTACAATGCACAGATGTGACATAACATATGCTCGTGAAATTTATACATCTACCATAAGTTTGAATAAAACCTATATAATCTCTAAATGCTATCATCTTTTAATGCTTGAGATGGTTGGATGGTGTGGTATACAACTATCAGCCTAAACTAATGATTCAAGTCGTCGGGAACCCCTGAAAAATCCGACATCAAATAACGCTATTCAAATCACAAGTGCCCAAAATATCGATAACCAAATGACGACAAACCTGCTTTGCAAACACAAACCCAGCGAAAGATGCTTAGTGACCACCTGCTCAGCAACTCCCACAAGAAATTTGCACTGACCCATGGACGGATTTAGAAAAGTAACGATCCCAAGACCATCAAATTCGCAGCTCTGAGAATTCTGTTTCTGTACCTGATAGTAACTGTTGAACGCATAAGAAATGTTACCCCTTTGGCCAATTCCGTTACATGATCCTCCATAATCTAGAGTCGTGCAATCCGCAACGGTACACGCCAGTTTAAAGTGGTCTGCAACACCAGAAAGATCTTTGGAAGGGTCAGCCACACACCACCTGGATGGAAGATAATGGACATCTTTGGCATTTCTCAACAACCCGTTGCCCGAACCAAGGTTGAGTGCATATTTTGCCTGCCCATCAAAAGAGAAAATCCCCCAATGTCTCTCGAAACTCCCTGGAAGAACGCTCTTCGCCTCTTCATCAAGAAGTCCAAAAAGATAGACATCCATAGGGGGTTGTCCAGGCCTAAGAGGGGTTCCTTTGTTGCTTGCAACATGATTGATGAGTCCCTGGTTGAAAACTCTTGCAGCATTGACATTCGCGCTAATAGCTCCGTCTGTAGGCCAACCTATCTCTCCTACAACTATTGCCATTTGACCAAATCCAAGTTTATTAAGGGCAGAAACTAAAGTGTCGTAGTTCCCATCAAATGCGTTATAATACACATTTGGTCCATCCGTGACAGAATGTGTCGTCCCTTCGAAAAAAGCATAGTCTTGTGGGAAATCTGAGTTGCCATAGAGGCTTAGAAATGGGTAGATATTGACAACGAAGGGGGAACCATTGGAATTAAGGAAAGTAACAAGATCCGTCATAATTTGAGAAAGCTCAGGTCGGAATGCTCCTTGTGAAGGAAGAGAAGACTCGTAGGCATCGGCATTGCAAGGGACAACTAGCTTCACGTTGCCTGCCAAGTTTGCTTTTGCCAAGGATTGTTGCAGATTTGTCATGGCTGGCATCACATATGACTGGAACTGACCGCCATAACTTGAAAGGAAGGGTTCATTTCCTACAGCTACATACCTGATTAACATTACAAGAATCAACACTTTATCTCGATTTATTTGAGATATAAGAAGTCAATGTCATTAATTTGTCTTGCATATATCTGAGGATTTTGATGCATTTCTCCAATATATAATGTATATATACAGTACCCATGTTATAATTTTAGCAATATAAACTACAGATTTGTCAATAGCACTAACAGTTAATAAGTAACAGAAGCTCAAGAAACTACCACTCCAAAGCTTTTTTTAACAGTAATTTGCCTAATCAATTTCTACTAGTAAAATAGGATATCAGGTCAGAGATAGGACCCAAAGTATCTGGTTGGTGGAGCAAACTATCAATAAATTATCAGTCGCTGATGGAAATCTGGGCGCCATCAGACGCACCCAAACAAGAAGGGCCCAAGCGAGAATCTGCGAGCTTTCACATCAAAGCTTTTACAAACTGCAATTTCATAAAGAATATGATCCTACTGTATGGTTTAATCTGGTCAATCAAATTTGTGAATTTCAGGAAATTCTGGAGGATCAAAAGGTTGTTTTCGCCAATTTCCATTTGGAAGAGGAAGCAAATCAGTGGTGGCAAAGGTACACAAAAGCTATGGAGGATAGGCAGATGGATATTACATGGGAAATGTTCGAAGATGAGATCCATCGTGCTTTGTCCCTACTGATGCAGAATTGCATAGTACTTTGATGAAGCTTTGTGTAGAGTTTTACGAGTGGGTTCCTTGAGAGATTATAATTTATCAAAGTAAATTTGAGTTGTTCCCAACCAATGATAGAAAGTGGTCAGAAAAGGCATTAGTAGGTACTTTCATGGGTGGACTCAAGTCAGAAATTGTTGAGCTTTCTGGAAATGTTCAGACCCAAACAATAAAGAATGTAATAAACTTAACCAGAATGAAAGGCAACTAGGTTCAAGGGCAAACAATAAGTTAGCAAGCTGGAGGCATGGGCACAACACATACTTCTAACACTCTACGTCTCCACCCATGACTCAATCTGGCATCAAGCAATTACCTTGGGATGAGATACAAACATCAGGGCTTGGAGACAATGTTATAATTGCAACCACAAATTTTGATAAAGGTCACAGGTTAGAGAGGGGACCCAAACCAAATCCTAAGTATCTGGATCAATGGAGGGTGTGGTGTACATGCCAAGTTAATATAGTGACAGCGGATTTTTAAGTCATTTTGAATTATCAATACTTGGTTATTTCCTATTCTCTAAGCTAGGAACAGTTGATGTTACTTTGTACATATACTCTTTGAAGTTGCTAAAGAAAAGGGGGATTTCATGAAGAAGAAAAAAGGTAGAGTTAGGGGCCGCTTACCCAAACGCTTACCTAGTAATAGGTAAGCAATGCTCTCACTTACCTTACCGCGTATGCAATAATTTATCCAGTAAGTGTTAACCTGGTAAAAGTCGTCACCCTCACTTACCTGGTAAGACTCCCTTGTCATCGCTCTTACAAGGTAACATGTTCATCAGCTACTTCCTTCCTATTTTGGCTCCAGGATCATCTCAAACACTTGTTGATTACATAAAGATTGTTGGTTCCCAACCTATGTATGTGAAAATCTAAGAGTCCAAGTTACTATGCATATCAGCAATGAGGAAGTATCCACTTTAAGATTTTATTTCCGAAGATAAAATAAAATAATGACCCCTTAGATGCACTATGACACAATGCTTCCCATAGTAGCAAGACACAGATGGTTGCAGGTTTAGGCAAAAACCAGTAAATTGATGCACTTTTCACTTGTCTGGAGATCACAAGCAGTTAATTACCTATAGCAAGCAAAACAGGTGCCCTTTTTTTTCTTTCTAAAAGAGAGGAAAGAAAACATCAATATCATTCATCAATTAGATCACCAGATGATGACACCTACTCAGTAAAACCTCTATTACGATGGGTCTATCCACTGGGTGTCAATGACATGTGTAAATCCTGAGAGCATCTTGGATTAATTTCTACTACTGCCCACAAAGAGAACGAACCAGCAGCCCAGAGATTGAAGTTTCAGATCAAAAGAAAGCAAAGGATTTTAAGGTGAACATGTATAGAATACATAGATATAGATAGGAAAGGGTATCATACTTGATGTTGGCCCCTCCTTTAACCATGTATCTGGAGACATTCTGAGAAACCCACAAATCGGAGGCGGCAGTGGAGGAGCTGAGTGTGGCCAAAAGGTCATTTGAGACGCCCACCATGACCTCGATTCCGGTGCCCATTAGAGCTCGGAGACAATCTGGATCAGCATCGAAAAGTTTCACTTTCTGAATCTTGTTGTCTCTGAGAAGATTCACCACCGTGGAAGGAGATAGCCTGTGGTTGGATATAGTACCCCAGTTCACACCTATTGCTGATTCCACCACTTGAGTTGAGCCACCCAACACCAACAGCACCGCCATAGCTGTGATGGTGATCATTCCTATACCCATCTTTTTACTGGTTGTATTTGTTTAACAAGACGATGGTTTTGTAGATGCTGAGAAAGTGGGAATCAGATGGTGTCTGAGTTCAACAACTAAAGAGAAAGAAATGGAAAAGTGTTGGTGGGATAATTGAGATTTAGGATTGGTAAAGGGTTGATGATATGAGGGAGGAAGGTTGAAGGAGATGAGATGCAGAGCAACATAGAAAATGCTGCCCGCCGAATATGGCCAAAATTTGCACACACCTCAGCCTTTCTGTGTTTTTTTTCCGGCAGGTCATAAATCTTCCGTTTTCTAACTGAGAAATGAGAATTTTTTTCTTGATATTTTGGTTTAATAATTTTTTCTTGGATATTCCTAAAAGATATTATTTACTCTTAAAAGATATTATTTACTAGAAGCGTACTCATGCAATGCAACGAGATATATCGTTATTATAATATTTTATTTTATTTTTTATCTCAATCGATGTTATAATATGATTTTATGTGATTTTGAGAAAGCGATATTGTTTTTATTTTTAAATAAAATATATGTTTGAAGATATCATAAAAATTTGACAAAAATATATCGATATTAGTATCAAATTAACTATTTAAAATTCTTTTTTTTTGTAATTTTTTAATTTAATTTTTTTATAATTTAATTTATGGACAATAACGAAGTAATTTATATTTGGTTTAATAATATAATTTTTTATAAAGATAATAATTATTTATTTTGATGGAACTCGATAATTATTCTAATTATATTTTCGATTTTTTATATTTTAAAATGAGATGTTCATTCTCTATTTGATTATGTTTATCCGCAGTTATTTATACGAATTCAAACATCGAGCTTTAATAAGTTGTAGTTATGCATAATTACTTGTAATCTTGAATTTTAAGTAATATGCATCAATATACAATACTTTATGCATAACAAAAATATATCGATATTCGTATCAAGTTAACTATTTAAAATTCCTCATTTTTTATGTAGTTTTTTAATTTAATTTGTTATTATAATTTAATTTAGGTACAATAACGAAATAATTTATATTTGGTTTAATAATATAATTTT